GAGGAGGAGGAGGAGGAGGAGGAGGAGGAGGAGGAGGACGAGGAGGAGGAGGAGGAGGAGGAGGATCACCCCCGTTCATCATATGTTGTTGCCCACCAATCCTTGCTCACTCTCGCATCTTCCGCCCCCCTCCCGCATCCACAGGATCCCAGCCGCCCTCTTCCCCGTCCCACGTTCCTCGTTGAAGTCGTCCCCCTCATTCCACCTCGTCCCCGTTACGTTCGCTCATCTCATTTTGCGCATCATCCCCCACATCCGAGTCCACCACGTCCTCCTGCTCATCATCCTCACCCTCTCCATGCCTCCTTGAGAAAGACCTGACGAGGCGGGGAGGAGGAGGAAGAGGCAAAAGAAGAGCTGGAAGAGTGGAAGAGTGAGGCACGGAGGGAGGGGAGAGGAAGCAAGAAGAAGGCAGGGAGGCTGGAAGAGACACGACGAAGGAGGTATGCTATGGATAACGGAGAAGGAGAACGACGAGGGCGAGAACGAGAGAGAGGAGGGAAAAGAAGGGAGGAGGAGGAGGAGGAGGAGGAAGAGAAGGTGGAGAAACAGGAGGGACGATGAGGCAGGGATGGTAACAAGATGGAGGAGAAGAAGACGGAGAGGAGGACGAGGTGGATCGCTCAAACCTTTCTGTATTACAAGAGCGAGAGAGAGAGAGAGAGAGAGAAAACAAAAGCGAGAGAGAGGGAGAGAGACGAAAACGAGAGGGAGGGAGAGTGTATACGTATATATATATATATATATATATGTATAACTATAGAGAGATACAAAAAAAGAGATGTGCGAGGCTGCATGCCATCGTAGCCCGCGACTCGCCGCACCAGCTTCCCGACGAACAGTCTCACATGCTGCACAGTCCAGAACCAGTCATCATCATCATCATCATCATCATCATCATCATCATCATCATCATCATCAGCATCAGCATCAGCATCAGCATCATCATCATCCTTATCCTCCACGTCGTCGTCGTCGTTCTTATCTCCTTCCGATGTAATTTCCTCCGTTTCGGCCTGCTCCGCCTCCACTTCCTCTCCAAGGTCCTCGCCCCGTCTCGTCACCCAATACCCCTCCCCATTGATAGCACACCTGGGTTCAGTGAGATGCGCACCGTTGTATCATGCACTGTTTTCTCGAAACTGTGGTCACGTCGTAATACTACTGAGCGGCCGAGTGAACGGGAGAGGGAGCAGCATCATGACCAAGAAGAGGAGGAGAGGACAAGGAGAAAGACGACGAAGAAGCGGGTCAGGAGAAGGAGGAGGAAGACGAGGATGGGGAATAGGAGGTGTCGCAGGAGGAGAACGACAGCGTAATGTCTGAAGAGGATTCGGAGGAGGGAGACCCGAGTACGCCTACGACGCATGAGCGATGCCGATACAGTCGGCCCGAGTTATAAGATCGAGGTCGGTTCGAGGAGGGTAGGAGGTTCGAGGTTCGGGCTCGAGGTTCGAGGTTTTCGACCCTTTTCGTCGGTTCTCGGTGATTTTCCAGCCTCGGGGTGCTTGCCAGCAGCTGCGTTTCGCCGAGAGCGTTCCGGGGGTGCTGGGATCGTCCCGAACGGCCGTTGGAGACCCGAGTTTTGACCCAAAAACAAATTCGGCGGCGGACCGAGATCGAGGTCGGTTCGGGGAGGGTACCCTAGTGTTCTTCGTATTTGTTCGATGTTCTTATGCATCCTGGGGAGGGTACCCTTGGAGGTTCTGTATGTTTTGGCCGGTGGAGGGTCCTACGTTCTTGAAGGATGTGCTTGTGGCCTAGGTCCGACTGTATACGCCCTCCCGCCCAGAGTCTTTTCCCCTGACATCGCTACAAGCCTTTATTCTTAACTATCAGAGAGCACCCCTTGAGAGGCAAGCACCCGGAGGTTTCTAGTGGGATCAAAAGAGAGCAGCAGATCACTCCACAGGGGGGTCCGGGCAGGTGTTGGGAGTTGCCGGGCGGCAGTGAGCCGGGCTCGTTTTTCACCAACAGTCACACACTTCGTGCTCTTCGCCTTCCCAGAACTCCATTCCCAGGCCACATTCTGGGGGGCCGGATGCAACTGTAGGCCACTTCGTGCTCTTCTCTTTCCCAGAACTCCATTCCCGGGCCACACATTTGGATGCCCGGATCCAACTGTAGGCCACTTCGTGCTCTTCGATTTCCCAGAACTCCATTCCCGGGCCACATTTTGAATGCCCGGAGCCAACTGTAGGCCACTTCGTGCTCTTCGATTTCCCAGAACTCCATTCCCGGGCCACATTTTGGATGCCCGGAGCCAACTGTAGGCCACTTCGTGATCTTCGATTCCCAGAACTCCATTCCCGGGCCACATTTTGAATGCCCGGAGCAACTGTAGGCCACTTCGTGGTCCTTCTAGACTTCCCAGAACTCCATTCCCGGGCCACATTTTGAATGCTGAGGCAGGCTGATGCTGAGGCTGAGGCAGGCTGAGGCTGAGGCAGGCTGAGGCTGAGGCCGAGGTGCTGAAGGCGACTGAGCTGCAGGCTGAAGCAGGCTGAGGCCGAGCAGGCTGAGGCTGAGGCTGAGCTGATGCTGAGGCAGGCTGAGGCTGAGGCTGAGGCTGATGCAGGCTGAGGCTGAGGCAGGCTGAGGCTGACGCCGAGGCTGAAGGCAGACTGAGGCTGAGGCTGAAGCAGGCTGAGGCTGAGGCTGAGGCTGAGGCTGAGGCTGAGGCTGAGGCAGGCTGAGGCTGAGGCTGAGGCAGGCTAGGCTGAGGCTGTGACTGTGACTGCCGTTGCCACTGCGACTGTCATCGCGAATGCGACTACGACTGCGAGAACAGCAGAATTCTACAACTGGATTCTCATCTGAATCTTGAGGGGAATGCTTCCAGATATGCTCCTACACATCGCTGTTAGGTTGCTTTGCCGGGATAATCTTAACTATCAGAGAGCACCCCTTGAGAGGCAAGCACCCGGAAGGCCTGCCATTCAGGCGAGAGCCCAGTATTGAAAAGCGAGTGGGTTGCATTTTTCTATTTTCTGGCGTGTCATGAGGAAGACGAAAAGGGTTTGGTCCGACCAGAAAGTCCAACGCGGTATTCAGCGAGAGACATTGTTTCAACAGGATCGGCCCCCCATCCGCGCATGCATTCCACAAGATTACAGGCGTGGTCACTGAATTCTTTACGCTTCGCGTATCCCCACCAGCCCATCACACAGCAGCAACTCTCGCGAAGCATGCCGACAGTCGTGTTTTTCAGGCGTGTGTCCGCTTGGCCCCGCATATCTCCCCTGTTCCTCCTTCCTCCCGCCTCCTTGTACATCCTCCTTGTGAGGGGAGCGGGAGAAGGACGAGGCGGAGGAGGAGGGAGAGAAAGCGCTCCTCGTGATTTGAGTCGTTTGGGGTTTCTCGTCCTGGTGTGAGTCGTTCGGGCCCTTCTTCCTGGTGTGAGTCGTTCGGGCTCTTCGTGGTGTGAGTCGTTCGGGCTCTTCGTCCTGGTGTGAGTCGTTCGGGCTTCTCGTGGTGTGAGTTGTTCGGGCCCCTCATCCTGGTGTGAGTCGTTCGGGCCCCTCCTCCTGGTGTGACTCGTTCGGGCTCCTCGTGGTGTGAGTCGTTCGGGGCCCGCGTCGTGGTGTGAGTCGTTCGGGCTCCTCGTGGTGTGAGTCGTTCGGGCGCCTCGTCCTGGTGTGAGTCGTTCGGGCCCCTCCTTGTGGTGTGAGTCGTTCGGGCTCTTCGTGGTGTGAGTCGTTCGGGCCCCTCGTCCTGGTGTGAGTCGCTCGGGCTCCTCGTGGGGCCTCTTGGGGGCCTCTTGGAGCCTCGTGGGGCCTCTTGGGGGCCTCTTGGGGGCCTCTTGGGGGCCTCTTGGAGGCCTCTTGGGGCCTCGTGGGGCCTCTTGGGGGCCTTTTGGGGGCCTCTTGGGGGCCTCTTGGGGCCTCGTGGGGCCTCTTGGGGGCCTCTTGGGGGCCTCTTGGGGCCGCTTGGGGGCCTTTGGGGGGCCTCTTGGAGGCCTCTTGGGAGCCTCCTGGGGGCCTCTTGGGGCCATCTTGGGGCCTCTTGCGACCTCCTCAGAAGCGCAAATGAGAGCTGCCCCCTGAGAAGGACAACATGAGCCCAAAACCTTCGTAAAATCAATGATTCTGCTATGAGGGAAGATGAGCGCGGCCCCCTCAGAAGGCCAAAATGGGGCCAAAACCCTCGTAAAATCAATGGTTTCTGCTTCAAAGACGAGCAGCGGGGCCAAACTCCCCCCCCCGTCGGGGCCAGAATCCTCGTGAGGATCGTCGTTTTTTTGCCCTCCCAGGAGTCGAAATGGACCCCCCTGAGAACGCTCGGCCCGCCCTCTCCAGGTCCAGGGGAGGGGGCAGGGGGAGGGGTAAACCCCTCCCCGAAGGGGAAGAAGGGGGGGTGAGAACAGAGAGAGCTCCCTAAACCACTCACGCCCAAAGGGCTGGTGGGATTTGGGAAGAGGGGGTGGAGGAGGTTGGCGTGGAGGAGCAGCAGGAGCAGGTGTTGGAGTGGGAGCGCGAGTTGGATGATGACGACGACGTGGTGGTGGTGGTCAAGGGGAACGCGGCTCGAGAGGAGGATCAGTAGATGGCGACGAGGCCGTGCTTGATGATGAAGGGTGTGAAGATGATTAGGAGGAGGAGGAGGAGGAGGAGGAGGAGGAGGAGGAGGAGGATAAGCACGATGGAGAGGAGAAGCTGAAGCAGCAGGACAACTCAAATGATCGGGAAGACCACGACCAGGACGACGATGACTGCCAAAATGTTGACGACGACCGCACACGACCACAACCACCACGTTGGCGACAGCCACCACCACGATGACGACCACCACAAATTTCATGACGACGACCGCGTCGATAACGACGACGACCGCCGCCAAGGTGACGACGAAAATCGCAACCATGAAGACGACGCCCACCATGACCACGAAGACGACGACCACCACCACCACTACGACGAAGACGACGACGACGACGACGACGACGACGACGACGACGACCTTGCCGCAGCGCCTTCGGCGCGAGCGCCCTTGGGGCGAGC